CAAAGCTACACAATGGGCTATCTGTGCTGTGTCCACCATGGGTATCGAAATCTGTGTTTTAGCATTATAAGCCTTCAGACTTACCACTGTGCCACATGGGGGGGGGGGCTTATTTAATTCTTATTTTTTAAGTAGACCTTAATGATAAAGAAATACCCAGACTTCACTTGCAGTCAACATATAACACTTATAATAAAGAGAGTCAACAAGATGGGAGAAAATATACTTGTAAGTATTAAGGTCAGGAATTTCTATATTATTAAAATACAATGATCTGTCTCTACACTTTGTTCAAAAATGTGTCTTAAGAAATATTTTGACAAAACATTTAAACATTAATTATGATGACAACAAAATAAGAACATATTCTTTTGGTGTTTATCAGTAATAAATTCCTTGATACAACCTTTAAAAGTTTACTTAAGACAAATTTCAAACTTCTATCTAAAAATCTCAACTGAAATAAAAATGTGGTAATAACTTACTGAATCAGTTCTTTTAACTGACTCAATACAAATAAGGCAAACACTGGCTCCAGGCTTCATGGTGTCTAGTAAATTCTGACGAGTTTTTGAAAAATCATTGCTGTCACCATGAGTTCCTACAGAAAAAGATGATACAGAGATTTGGTTAAAAGGTACTAATGTGAATCACTTTTAAACTAAAATATAAATTAACTTTTAGACAACTAGGAGATCTCAATTTTTTGAAAAATTATTTTAAGGAAAATATTTCTTAATTTTTTCTTTTTAAGTTGTATGTATTAATATTTAGCTTATTCAACAGGGGCTTGGTCCTTGGGACTGACTTCATAACCCTTTTGTGCTTGTTATAGTTTTTATGCTGTAACTTTTAAATTAGTAAGCATATGTTAAGGAAATTTGGCAAATTATCAGTAAACATCACAATGGTTTCATACGCAAAATATAAAATTTTTTATTAAGTGTTCATAAAGCAATGTTTTTCTCATGTATATTTTTTCTTGCCTATTTATCATGCAAAGTAATAAATCATTTTATGATTAAAAATACTTTTATGCATCAGAAAATTTTGCAATTTCACATGCAAAATCTTTATAATGTCGATTACAATGCTTTCATATGCAAAATATTGTTACAACAGCGGAAGTCACGCAATGCTGGGAGCATGCACGCTGGAGTTTCTAGAAGGATCATGACTTAGCGGGCAACCTCACGATTGTCCCAGCGTTTGCTAGATGCCCTCTTTTTTAGTATATAAGCTGGAGATAGATTGAAGAGAAATAATTCGAATCA